CTACAGAGCTAAAGTTCTACAAAAACAGCTACCTATACAGCTCAAGTTCTAGAAAAACAGCTAACAACACAGCTAAAGTCATAGAAAAATAGCTAACAACACAACTAAAGTTCTGGAAAAACAGTTAACTATGCGGCTAAAGTCATACAAAACAGCTAACTGCAGAGCTAAAGTCGTAGAAAAATAGCTAACAACACAACTAAAGTCATAGAAAAACAGCTAAGTATACAACTCAATTTATACCAAAAAAAGAAGCTAGCAACACAGCTAAAGTCGTAGAATACCGCTAACTCCGCAGCTTAAGTCATACAGGAAGTTAACAATGTGGCTAAGTCATAAAGAAAGCTAACTACACAGCTAAAATCACTGAAAACAGCTAACCACGTATGTTAAGTTACTGAAAAACAACTAATTACACAGCAGAAGTTCTAAAAGAAAGCTAACTACACAGCTAAAGTCCTGAACCGCCTCACAATTTTCTGTTTTAGGCTCTTTTGTCACTCACTTTTTTTAGCATTTATCGCCACAAACGGTTCACTGCCAGCTCAGGCAAAGTTAGCGGCTAACTGTTGGCCACAGTGGAGCATTTAGCAGCTCCAGAGCAGCTGGTGGAGACCAAAACCAGAGCTAGCAGAGAGCTAGCATTAGACGTACAATCACACAAACCAGAAGCCTCAAAATAAATGTTGGACTGTGTTCACAGTAAACCAGGTAAAACCATAAACACGTCTCTTACTGCCTGAATGGACGTGGTCGGATTTTATGGTTTAGCTGAACTGCGGCAGGAGCTACAACAAGACTTTGAAACTCTTAAGGATCTTTGGTTTCTTGTTGCTGTTATGAAGCCAAAACTTTCTGTTGCTGCAATCTGCTGCAGCGAACGTTTGCATGAAAGTACAGTTTTGATTTACACAGTTTGCTGCAGAGAAACTGATCGTGTTGCAGCAAGTGATGATTGTTTTCACTGTTCGTTCATCTGGATGAATCTATCGGCTGCTCGTCTCTAAAATGTCAGATTATGTGGCTCAGCGTTTCCTCAGACGTCTTGTTTTGCGCAAAGATATTTGGTTGACTGTCACTGAGGAGGAAAGAAATGGTCAAATATACACTTTTAGGAAGCTAATCAATTAATCAATTATTTGGTGAAAGTTGGCAACTGCATAATCGATGAATTGCAACTCAAATATTGCACTTTTTTGTTCACCTACAGTCCAAAACACAAACACATTGTGCCTTATGAAACGAGACACAGAAAGTCTACTTGTCCTCATGTTTAAGAATTTAGAAATAGGGCGAATTGACGATGTCAGAAACTTGTTTAAAAATCCTTAAATGTCTTGTTTTGTCGAATGATACTCAGTTTTTTTTTGTTTTTTTTACAGGTTTCTGACATTTTAGAGGCCAAACAGCTCATTAACTCGCCCTATTTCCAAGACAGAAAATATTCCCAAATGATGAAGGTTTTTAAAACGCTGACAGGTTCTGATCCTCCCTAAACCTGAGCTTTAAATATCTCCGAACTCCTCCGCCCTGAGCAGCACATGTTCTGAGGGAAACCAGGAATACTTGTAATTTTCTTGTAAATCTGCTGGAATGAGAAACGGCTAAAATTAAACGTTCAGCTCGGACGCAAAGGCGGCCTATCAGCGACCTCAAACCGTCGTGCATTTCTTTTCGAGTGCCTGAAGCCTCGGAGGCAGCGATGCACCTACCCCTGGCTGACGTAGTCCCAGTGAGCCCTCATAAAGTTCCAGGCCAGCGCTTGGCCCGCCGAGTTAGTGGCGACGTCAGTAATGATGGAGGCCACATCCATGAGACGGATCTTGTCTGGGTCCAAAGTGTACTGCAGGTATCTGCGGGATAAGGGCCGGCAGTGAGCCGCTGTTTGGGGATTCAACTTATCGCAGGTGTGTCAGCAGTTGTGAGCAGCAGGCGGCGGCTCACCTGTTGAGCAGCCAGATCTTCTTGGTGCAGGCCAGAGCTCCCCTCAGCTGCTCCTTCTCCGACGTGTCGCTGGAGCTCTGGAGCTTGTCCCAGGCGAACTCCCACTCAGCCCTCCCCCCGGCAGCCACCGCCTGGCAGTAGATCACGGAGCGCAGGTTGGGGTGGATGCTGGACCACACACACACACACACACACACACACGGTTTAGCATCCGACTGCAGGACGTTTCTCGGTTCTGGTCTGGCCTGTGGACTCGGCCTCTTCCTGCCTGAACAGTTTCTCCATCTGGTTTCCTCTCAGCATATAAACATGGAACAGAATGACACCTGCAGGACTGTAAAGCCTGCCGCCCTATAAACATGCAACAGTTTTATATTTGGTCAAAACTGACTTACACCATCTGTCTGTTTTACTATACGGGAAAATATTCCGCCATTGAAGCAGCTTTTTTAAAATAGCTGCAACCACAATCTGGAGCTCAGTGCAGAATGTGTACTTTGTGTAATTGTGCTTCACGCTGGCTTTGTTAGCTCCAGCTTCTGCTCGCTGGCTTCACGATCTGCTGCTGTAGGACTCATAGCACACTGACTAAACTAGGACCGTCTGAAGGCTAACTACACCGCTACAAACATAAAACTAAAGTCATATTCAGAAAGCTAGCTACGCAGCTAAAGTCATCGAAGAAACTAAACACAAAATTACGCAGCTAAAATCACAGAAAACCTCTAACTACACAGCTCTTGTTATAAATAGAAGCTAACAACCCCACTAAAGTTCAAGAAAAACAGCTAACTGCACAGCTAAAGTCATAGAAAGAAGCTAACTACACAATTAAAGTAGCAGAAAAACAGCTAACTACACAGCAAATGTTATAAAAGGAAGCTAACAACACTGCTGAAGTTCTAGAAAAACAGCTAACTACACAGCTAAAGTCATAGAAGGCGCTAACAATGTCGCTAAGTCATAGAGGAGGCTAACTACACAGCTAAAGTAATACACAGAAGCTAACTACACAGCTAAAGTCAAGACAGAAGCTAAC